GCAGGTAGGAGCCTGCGGCCGCGGCCCTACCTCTCGCCCCCCTCCCCAGCGAGCAGGGGTCCGGTGCCGGAGGCGCGGCCACAGCCCTGCGAGGCAAAGCCGAAAAATCCCCACCCGATGCTTCCATCTTAGGCCTGGGCACTGCCCGAAGCCCCCGGGGAGCTGGGTGAAAGGCTGTCTCATCGGGGCGGCCACCCTCAGACACCCGCATCCCCTCTGTGCCCCACACCTAATGGCATCGTGGCTTAAATCTCCACTGAAGGTGTCCAGGTCTTGATCATTGCTGGGGAACCGGGTGTGCCAATCGCTCCTTACCCATTCCTTGTCCTGAAGCTGTTCTCGGGGCCAACTCAGTGAACGCTCTTAGCATCAGGAAAATCATACAGGTGGGCAGTTGCCTCACGACTGATACATGCACTTGCAAGCAAGAGACCCAGGCTTGAAACTCTGCTGTGATGAACATTGAAGCCTTTATACAACAGGTCTTTGCTGATGATCGATGCTGGTGTTCGCTGGTTTCTGCAGGGAGCTTAATCCTTTAATGCGAGCGCAGGGTGTGCTGCGAGACATCCACCAGCTGGGGCTTCCTGGGACTGGCCTGGGTCGGGGCCCTGAGGAGGCTCAGGCATCGGCCCCTGAGCTCGGTTTTCATGAGGGTGGGTGCCTGCAGCTTCGCCTGTGGCAGCTGAACCTGGATTCTGGGGGATCACTCGTTGTGGTTCCATGGGCGTCTAAATGTTCTCTATTGAGTTCGAACTGCCTGCATCAGTTTGTTGATGGTCCCTCGCTCTGAATAAATCCACTTCTTACATGCCTAAAATCATGCATGTATTTATGGAGTTTCAAAATTCATTGCAGCATTCTGCGTCTATAGCGAGCGTTCCTGCAGACCTCTCTGTGGACACAGTTCTTCCATCCACCCCCCTCCAGCAACTGAGTTGTTCTTAAGAAGTTCCAGGACCTTTCTGACTCGTGGTAGGGATCATCACCACCATATCTTTGGGCTGTGGATTTGTTAAGGTCTGAGTTCATCAATATTCTTACTTTTACAATATGCATTTATTTCATCTTGGATTATGTATTCAGTTTATTGCATTTAGAGGAAGCAAAAAAACTTGGAAAAGTCTTAGCTATAACGAGTAATGGGGTAAAACATTTTCATTCACATTAACAAACAAAGTGAGATAGTGGAGGAGTGGATAGAGTTTTTGTATTTCTTTGTACTTAGTATGTCACACTTTTGGTTTTTTTTTGTCTAATCTGTAAAAAGTTTGCAGACACAGTATTTTTAAAGCCCATTGCTGAGAGTTTGTCATCTAAGCCTGTCATAAATGAAGCAGTAAACAAATACATGTTAGGAGCAAAGGGGAAGGAGTACTAGCCACAGGGAAGCTTCACTAGCTTCATTATCTCAAGAAGTTCAAACAGATTTTATCAAAAGTGAAGCCTGATGCCTCAGACACCTCTGACGTTGTTCTTAAGATATGTTTTGGACAAAGATTCAAACCCAGCTCATTAACACCATCGAGAATTTTCTATGCGACGTATTAAAGTGATGCCATCCGCTTCATTCTAAGTAACAGCTCGTGGAGGGATCTAATCGTTTTAAAGGTCAGGAAGCTTTTTCTCCTCCCCTGGTAATACCATTAATACCATGAATATTCCCTTCCCTGTTCCCTATACTTGGCTAATTCAGCGCTGTAATAGGGAATACAAAGTTCTGTCACTTTAGATCTGGCCATCTGAATGCATGACCAGGCAGGCAGCAGCTGAATAAAGAATAACGTCCATTTGACTCCAAATGATTCACTCCGCTGGCATCTTATTACAGTTCTAACTCAAATGAATGGTAAAGTGCAGAAGGACTGGGGAAGGTAAAGCAGATAGCATATGTCAACTAAGTGACATCCAGAATAACGAAGAGGCCGTGGGGCAGCTTACTTGTCTCACTCCAGTGGTCTGAAACATCCAAAGAAGTGAATCTGGACCTTTAGACTGCATTTGTTTCGCATTGGTTTGTCTGCTACTGTAGTCCTGCTTTATGCTGATGACTTGGGAGTTTTCTGATTGACCCTACCCATAATGACTTAAAGCTATTTAAAGCTATTCCTCCTTGATCCTGCCTGAACCAAAAGTAATTTATCCTAAGTGATTTAACCATGTACTGTTTGCAAGTCAAAATGATTGAAGGATGGCCATTTTGTAGAAACATAATGTCTTTCTCATGGTAGAACCAGTACTTGCACACATCAGTTAAGGCAATGGAGGTAACATGTAGCAGATATTTTTGCATAATCCTGATTCCATTATTTTGATTTAATTCATAACCACTTCTTTAAGAATATTAGATGATGCAGTACAGAAGCTTACACTAAGATGTAAAAGCAGGATTTATTCTGACAGTTGACTGTAAATTTAACCACTCTAGAAGCAGGCTGTGGGATGGCCATTCGTATCACTTAAGACTTCAATAAAAAAGTTCTAACGGTGGCTTTCCATTGACTTCAGTAGCTGGTGGATTAGACCTGTGAAAGTGAAAAGATAGGACTCTGATGGGTGTAGTTGAGTAGTGACAATATTAATGAACATGCTGTGAGAACCTGAACAAAAGGGAGCTAAGAGTTCTTTGATCACCGTCTTTATCTGCTGGTGAAGTTGGTGCGATCTAGTCTTTGCAATAGTGATTTTTAAAAATGCTATGTAGAAAAGAAGGGAAATGGAACAGTGTGCTTGTGGATAAATGCTGGCAGTTACAGTCAACATCTCTTCCTGATTCAGATCCTTTATTTTCAGAACATAATCATTTATTCGGCAAAAGAACCTATGTCAGGGACAAAACAGTTGTCTTCACATATATTGTTCTGAGGGCTCGTGCCTGAATTTCATGGAGGGGAGCAGCCATTCAGGATAAATCTAACTGTAGTATTACCATACTTTGGGAGTAAGATAGCTGAAGAAATAGAAGTTGTTACTGGAAACACGGACCACGTGGAAGGTCAATCAAAAACTAAAGTAGATGAGTTAAATGCAAGGTTTGATTCTGTGTGGAGATGAAAAAAACCAAACCAAACCAAACCAAACAACCCTTGGACCTTTGTAGAACAGAACTATCCTATGTTAGACACCTATTATGTACTTTGGGTCAGTTTGTTTTGGAAGAACAATGAGGTTTGTGTTCAAGAAGGACTTGATGTCATTATATCAGTTTCCCTTCTTAGAAGGAACAGCATTTAAGACCCTGAATAATGGCTAGTCACTTTGCTTAAAGGAAGTAACACATAGATGGCAAAACCAAACCCTCCGTTAGAATGGATAATGCTGCATTTTTTGTCTCAGTAGTTTTCTCTGGGGCATAACTCACATTTTGTCTTAAAGAATAAAGTATTAAAAATATTTTTAAGCTAAATGATGCATTTTTCTAATAGCTATAAATAACATCAGTAAAATCGTATTTATTTATATTCTGGCTGCTTTAATGCATAAACAGGGCAGCTTTTAATACGTTGTGTTCCAAAACATTGTTTTCTTTACAGTCTACTGTTATAAAATTCTCTTTAGTGCAGGGACAGGAAACAAATCCTCAGGACTCTCTTAACTTTTCAGTCTTATTCAACATCTTCTCCCTACAGCTTTTTGTGCTATAAAATATCCATATTGCTTGACAGAAGATGCATCTTATGTATTATGTTTCGAGAGCATGTTCTGAATACCTATTTCAGCTGTTGTTACAAACGCTAGTCCACAACATCTCTTATCAATAAGAAAATGGTTTTAGTGACTTTTCCGCCCTGTATCCGTGCGTAGAATGTATTAACAAAGAAAGAAATTTCCAAAGGAATCTCTAAGAGTATAGGATGCTAGATTTATTTGTTTGGGTTTTTTAAAAACAAAGGAGACCTCTATTTCCTAAGGTTAATTCACATTGAGATAATTGGTTTATTTTATTTTACCTTAGCCAGGGGCTTTCTCTTACTGGTGGAGCTAGGTATGAATCATAGAAGCAATGAAGCAATTCTCTTTCCCTACAGTAGAGAGAAGTAGTTTAAAGCTCCTCAGAATCCTCAGGAGCGATGAAAATGTGTTGTGTTTTAAATTAAAGAGGAAAAGAAATCAAAGCATTCACACAGGATTTGGCAAGGCCAATATATGCCAATATGACTTATCCGGTTGACTGCTCAGTTATTGTATTCCTTCATTATTTTACCATTTGTCTTGTATGGAAATGGTGCTCAGATAATTCAGTGGTGGGTATAATAGAAATTAATTAAAGGGATCACATTATTGATGATCAAGAAATAATACAATTTAAGAAAATTTAAATAGGTTGTGAAATCTTTACATCACGGTGATGATAGTCATCAATAAACATGGACAGACCAAGATAACACCTTTTAACAAAGCTTCACTTATATATTTTATTTTTAGAGCCATACTATCCATATGTTTGACTAACCGAATCCATGGTGTAATGAAAAAAATACTGTTCAGTATCTTCACCTGCTGTCCGTACATTCTAATGCTTCTGTTGTGTTTTCTGAAAGATCCAAGTATTTTTTACACTGAAAAAATACTATTATATTATTTTTTATAGTAAAATTGAAGCTGTATGTTTCCTTTTTGGACTCAACTCTGAGAAATTAAGATTAAAAAAAGGGCAGGAAACAATTACAGAGAGGGATAGTAAATCACAACGAGCAAAGTTACAGGAGATGAGTGCATTAGTACTGTCATTGCTGAAAAGCGTCACTCAAGACATAAGCAGAGCGGCTATACTGTCCCTACTCCATCATTTCAACTCTTTATGACTTGTTTCCCTCTTTGTAAAGCAGAGGTCAATCGTGTTTACCCCATATGCAAAATGACTAGTAATAAACACTTACAGTTCACTTGTAGTACTGTGCAAGCACTAAGTACCCTTAGACTTTTTTAGGATATTACAATGCCATCCCTCAATTCCAGCAGGTTCATGACATTATTCGTACCCTGTTCTTCAAGGTAATTCATAGCAAAGGTAAAAAATATTGCACGTTAAATCTCCTGTTGAAAGTACTGTGGTCAGTAACTGGACTGTTATATATCTGGGGATGCACACGATGGTTTATGTACTTATTCATTCTGTGTGACTCCAGGCGTTGAGAAAGAGTAATCCCGCCTGGCATTTGGACTCCATTTGGTCTCGGTCATTATGGATCCAGAGTAACTTGTTCAAAG